TAAGTTATGGCTTTTGCGATGTGGCTGACCAGTTATGTCGTATGTTACTAGATTCGAGCTCTATACAGGGAGGCGCAGAGCGGGAGATGATCAAAGCTCGGCATTTGATCATAAGACCGGTGCAGCTGCAGTCGTTAGGAATTTGCAGATTGTACTTGACTCCAACACGCGACACCTATGGCATGCGGTCGTGATCGACCGCTTCTACTCCTCGATTCTGCTCGCTATCGAACTATTGGCCATGCAAGTGTATGTGGTTGGTACTATCATGACTAACCGGCTGGGATACGACGCGAATGTGAAGGAGAAGCGCAAGTCACGTCCGGCGAGTGTTCCCCGAGGAGCTTTCACGTTCTCCCGCTCCGTTGCTATTCCGAGTATGGTTGCTTTTCACTGGTGGGACCGGAAACCAGTGCACTACTTGTGCACTGGCTCCGTCATGACAGAGACAACGATTGGAAGAAACGTCACGCGTATTGGCTCAATATCCGTTCCTTGCCCGGCACCTGTGACCGACTACCAACGTTGGATGGGCGGAGTTGATGTGCACGATCAGCTCCGCCTCCAAACATACTCACTGCAGACGTCCACGAAGTTCAAGAAGTATTACAAGAGTTTATTCTTGGGCTTCGTGGATCTCGCCCTAGTGAACGCATTTATTTCGCACAAAGAGTCTGCACGTATTGCCGGGGCGCCAGCAATGAAAAGGGGAGAGTGGTATGGAGTCCTGCAGAATCAATTGCTCCAGCTGAAGGTGGACGACTTCGCCGGGATAGTGGCTACGCCACCCCTCAGCAGTCAGAAGCGAAAGCGCCCCCAGCTTCGGCTCAAGCATGCCGTCGAGCAATCCAATGACTGGGTTATTGTTTCGGGCATTCAGAAGCGCCGGCAGCGCTCGTGCAAGGTGTGTGCTCTCCTGCGTACAGACCGGAAGAAGAAATCATTTGCCACTACTTTCTATTGCGAGCGGTGCTCCATCGACGACGCTAAGTGCTGGTTGTGTAACAAGATACGACGTCAGTACAAGGGAGTTGCTAAAACTTGCTATGAGATCTGGCACGATGACTTCGATTGCGGCCAAAACATACCTGCTACACTGGGCAAAAGAGTCGTCCTGCGGCGACCGGGTCAGAAGGCTGGTGCACACAAGAAGACCCGCCGCCAGCTGCAGCTTCGTGAAGGGGAAGACGGCGACGATGAAAATGAGAGCGATGAAGAGTAGGCAACCCTGTGCGACATCAAATGAGTGTGTGAGCTTTTGTTTGTTTGTAATACGCATTTCTTGAACTTCCGTACCTTCTGTTCTGCCGTTTATGTTTGTTTGTGTTCATAAAGAAGCTCGGTGCACCACCTATTCCCGAATGTGCCGCAAATCTTTCCAATGCACTTTCCTATTTGAAGTAACTTACGACATGCAGCGCTTTCAAATTGCCGCTACACCATAGAACTTACGCCATATCCGTGCGATACCTGCTGAAACCTTATAGCCCTATCCGCAAGTCGAACATATGCCACATACAAAGTTGTAGTCACAGAGGTTCGGCGTAAGTTACGACTTTATTTATCTCGTTTTCGATACACTTGGCCGGGAACCAAGGGGTTAACATTGCCCGAGATGATTTCTTAAAGATACACTACTAAGTAGTTGGTATTATAGTATTTAAGGACAACATGATTGATACAAAAGAACTACAGTAGTATGTTTCACCGATAGTATCTTCGATTATTACTGTTGTAATGAGAGCGTTTTTCAAGTACTCTTCGTAAAAAAAAAGCCCGTCGTTCGTTGCTTTCTTATGTGAATACCGGAGTTGTAGTCTTGATATCTTGAAGGCGTCCAGCGGCATCAAGTCACGTCTCTTGTAATCCGCAAACG